TCAGCCTTCAACCTTCAACCCCGGCTGAATTTGGAATTTGAGATCTCTCGGCCAGTGGGCCGGTTGGGTGGGCCCCTCCCCTCAACCTTGGCGTGCCGCGTGCGCACTCGAGGGGCCGGCAGCTAGGTATATAGCCAGCCATACAGAGTTCAGAGTACAGAGGGCAGAGTTCAGACGCCCTTGCTCGCGTTTAGGATGCTGTTGCCGCTGGGTGGTGGGGACTGGCCGGGGTGCTCCCAGAGTCCTCCTTTGGTGCCTTACGTCTGGTGGGGCTGCGGAGGAGGAGGAGGAGAGGAGGAGGAGAGGAGGCGGTGGAGGTAGAATTGCATGGTGGGTGCCACTGCGTGGGGCTCCGGACTCACGAGCGTGTGACTACCTAGAGTACCTCCGGTACCGGGTACCTGTGCGAGAAGCGCGCTGTCCGAGACCGTCGTTACTCTGCTGGTCTCGGAACTTGGAAGAGATCATCTACAGATGATAGGTGGGTACTCTAGGTACTCTACTCTGCTACGGTATTCTGCTCTGCTCTGGAGCGAAGTGGTGTCCATCAGGTCTACAGTGCAATACTGTGCAGTACAGTGCTTGGCGTAGCACTTCGGTATCGCATCTTCCGGAAAGCGCATCCTTCCTTCCTTCAGCTTTGGTGGTGAACCTTAAACGCAGGGATAGGTAGCATGTACCTATCGCGGATCCGCGGTGGGTACATAGGGGAAGAGCATCACCAGCCGATATGTACATCCAGAGGAGCATCGTCGTTCCGCATCGGAAGACGCACCGTACCGCACCGTACCGCACCGCACGCATTCATTCATCCCCTCGCCTCCGGATTTCGGAAGGCTTTCGGGGAGGCGAGGGCGGAAGCCAACAGGGAGGAAGCCAACAGGCAGAAAAGCCATCGCCATCTCCTGCTCCTGCTCCTATATACGGTACTCCTGCTCCATTGGAGTAACCACGGTACGTACTCTACTCTAGACTCTACAGACTACGGTAGCAATGACTCTGGACTCTGGACCCCGTCCGCCAAAAAAAACACGTGGGTGCATCGGGCCCGAAGGCTGAAGTTTCAGTTATGTATGATAACTACGGATTAGCGGGGATAACTCCGGCACCAGGGCCCATCGTGCTCATGTCCTAGCTTGCGAGTTGCGGGTCTACATAACACGAGCAGATGTATGATGTACGTACCCCATCGGAGATCACCTACGATTCCAGCAGCCGTCTAGGTAACCGAGTAGCTACCATGTAGTTCTCGGTTGAGGCTGAGTGAGTGAACGCTTCATCGTTGTGGATTCGTGGGGCCTGCGGGGCCGTCGCGATGACTCAGAACTGTTGTATGCATACTCGCCGCAAGCATGCTGTCGGCCGGCGGGGATGGTTATCATTATTCGTTCGTCCGTGACGATCGGAATAAAAATAGTGTTCCTGTCTGACTCGTCAGTCAGGACTCGAGTTGACGGCCTTTGGCGGCATGTCCTTCCGTATGTAACCATCTGGTGCTGGTGGTGTCTGGGCGCTCAGGTCATAACCACCGGTACTTTTTATACGGTGCGGGCAATCCGAATCGGCAACAAGGCTGCTGTGACTGTACTCTGCCTGCATACCTGTATACAAAGTCTGTGGATCGATGACGTCTCGAAGCCAAGAAAATGCCACGTGATGGCCCCAGATCCGTGCAGAATCTCAGATAGATCTACATGACTACTTTGGTCACCCCGCGGCGCGGCGCACCGGCAGGTACCGACCGACCACCCGACCGACCGTTGCGGCTAAGCTTTCCGACGGTCGGGAGTCGGACGCGATCTATCTGTCACTCTGCTATTTACATAGCTCATACTTCTTACTTCTTATGTGCTTGCTTGCCTTTTCTCGTGAAGCCATAGATCTTCCCAAGTCTAGAAGTCTGGGCCACTTGCGAGCGTCGATGCCGCTTTTCTTTCCCTTTTCCTCGCCCTCGCCTGTACTGCAGCCTTGTGCAATGTGTGCTCATCATCATGCTCAAGCTCATGCTCAGGCAAGGGTGGACCGTGGACCGTCAGGAGCTCCTACATACGCAGCTACGCAGCTACCTCGCAGCTACGCTCGTTGTTGCGGCGGCGATAAGCAAAAAAAAACAATAATAATCCCGTCGACCCCGCTATGTACTGTACGGTACTCTACCCAGTGGCCTCCACGTATGCGCCCATCAATTTGAAACCGTGTTTCTGACTGTGTGTGCCTTCAGGCTCCGTCACCTGTCGAGGGGGAGGGGTTGCTGAGTGGGTTGAGATAGGTACCGGTACCTGCCCACCCTCGATATTCTTCCTCCTCCTGAACGTTTTGCCTTCAGCAAAGTGTGTAGAGATAGGTACCGGTACATGCACACCCTCGATATTCTTCCTCCTCCTGAACGTTTTGCCTTCAGCAAAGTGTGTACCTATCATACCTAATCATACCTATCATACCTGCCCGTCAAGCTTGTTCTGCGGTCCGGACAACACGATACCTGAGACAAGCTTTATACTTCCCCCCTCGAAGCTCCTGGGAATGGCACGCACCCCGTACCTAGAACTCACTCTACGTACCGTACGGTACCTTGGTTACGGTCGGCACCCGCGCTGCCTCTGGTAGGATGCATGGACATGAGTTCATCTGGTCCGCTCGCCTGTGCCCTGCTAGTCCATACATGTTAGTGGTACATACCGTGCTCCGCGTAGAATGTTCGTGGTTCGTCTGTATGTAACCTTATGTGACTGCGATGGTCGTCGTCAGTCAGAAACGCATTGCCGGCTCCACATATACGCTTCCGAGCCGGCTGTGCACGCGGTATGTAGAGTATCAGGTAACTACGCCCTCACCTGGAGTAGAGTGCCCAAGTACCTGTCTACCTGGGTATCTCGCACCCCGTCAGGAGCCTCAGCGAATCCCCATCCGTTGGCCCTCCTCCTCCTCCCCCACCGCCTCCGCAGCCCCGGCGTGTTTCCCGCCTTCGTTCGTTTCGTGTCTCCCTTGCCGCTCCGTGATCCTCCTTCTCCTTCTCCCACTCCAGTGCGCACTCGACTCCACTCCACTGCACTCCACTCCGCACTGCCTACGTCAAACGATCGCATTGCAGGTTCGGCGCCGGCCAATCAGCGTTGGCGGGGCATTGGTCTGGGGAAGTGCGGTTCCGTATCTGCGCCCATGCCAGGAGAGCAGCGAGCTGCTGCTGCACCCACCAGCCAACTGCAGGCGCATCAGCTCAAGCACAAGCACAAGCACAAGCCATTCCTGATACCCGCAGCAGCCTCTCTCTCTTCTCTTCTCTAGTTAGGGTGAAGTCGCTCAGGCACCACCGCCGCCGCTGCTGCTGCTGCGCTGAATCTTCTTCATCCATCGTCCACCAACAGAACACCGCTCGCACCCACACACACTCATACTCGCCCAACCCGCAGTCGTCGACACATCCACACAGCACACTCGCCGCCCCCGCATGCTTGCTTGCCTGCCTGCCTTGGATACCCTCGTTTCTCTTCTCTGGCCGAGTACTCGTAGAGTAGAATGGTCAAAGATGTATGCGCATACTGAACTTACCTTACCGTCTCACCCAAAAAAGCCTTCGAGTGAGGGTTTTCCCCTTCCTGTGTCCAGTGTCCACTGTCCGTCTGTTGCCTGGTTTATGTTTTTTTTATACTGGCCACCTTGCGTGCGGATCCTTGCGTTCCTCGCAAGCCCTGGCCCCTGGAACCGGGCTCGCCTCGCCTCGCCCTCGCCCTCACCGTCCCCCTCGCCCTCGCCGTCTTCTGCCATAGGGACAAGTATAGAGTAGTACCTTGCTGCGAGCCGTGGTTCGAGTGGCCGCCGGACTCTCTCTCCCCCACTACCTCTACTCCTTCTCTCACTGCCCCTCTCCCCCTCTCCCCCTCTCCCCCCCTCTCTCACTCCTTCTCTCCCCCTCTCTTGCACTCCCTCCGCAGCGTCTCCGATCACTACCATACTGACAGCGTTGTCGTTCTTTGTCTACACAGAGCAGACAGAGCAGACAGAGCAGAGAAGAAGAAAGGCCAGAGAGATCTCGGGACAACAAAAGTGCACGGCTCTCGCCCTTGTAGCGAGGAAGAAAAAAGAAAAAAAAGAAAGAGAGCCATTCTTGAATCCCTGCTCCCTGCATTGGGCTCTCTGTGCTTGAGACGCAAACACACAGACACCCTTAGCACCCCCCTCCCCCTCCCCCAGCCCAGGCAAGAGAGGCGTTCCTGAACCTGAGCCTGAACCTGAATACCCCCCCCCCCCCAATCCACTCGAACACCCCCCCTCCTCACCCCCCTCCTCACCCCCCTCCTCATCCCCCCCCCCCCCCCCCCCCCCCACCACCACCCCCCCAGACAACGCCCCTCTTGGCTGTGTGTGAATGACCCCACCACCTACTCTACACAATTACTAGGTACACCGTACTCACACCGTACTCACACCGTACACCTCCAACAACAACAACAACAACAACAACAACAATCCACACATCCCACTGCCCCTCGTGCTGTTCCTTCAAGTCTTCCCTAAACGCTCTCCCCCTTCCTCTTCCTAACCCCCCATACCACTCTTGTTCGGATCCTCCGAATCACTTCTTCCAAAAAGGAAACAGCTCCACCTCCACAGCAAAAAAAAGTACTTGCTTGGTTACTCTACAGCTGCTTGCCTGCGCTTCGCATTTTCTCCGATAGCGCCGGTCCCGTCGGCTGGCCCCATATCCTGGTGGTTGCACAATCAACCCACCACGGCCGCCTGCTTCCAGCCAGTGACAGCATTTACGAGACGCACTCATCGCCACAGCTCCTTGACTGTGGTGCCTGGTTCCTAGGCGGTGTTTCTGTGCCGATCCGAGGGGCTGTATGTAGCTGGGGTTTGCAGCTTCCAGCTGGCACATAAGCACAACGCTTCCCTTCCTCACTTTTTGGCAACCTTTTCCAGCTTGGCCAGGCTGCTATACACCACCCTATCCCACCCACCTCCGTGCTTCTTTGGATCGCTGAGGATTTCTCGACCCGATGGCCACTGTTCAACGGCCAGCAACTCCTTCGTTTAGGGCAGTCAACACGGTGGATTTCGCATCGACCGAAGTATCTGCAAGGAATATGGCAACACCCCGTAGTCGGTTGACGCCACCACCATCAGCGCCGTCAGCCCCGCCAGCTACCACCACCACCACCACATCCACCACCACAACCACCACATCATCATCTTACGACTTTCGGTCGCATACCACGCCCACGATAAAGGACGAAAATCCTTCGCCATCGAGAATGTCCTGCACGCTGGAGGACGACGAAGCGAACGACCATGACGAGGATCGCGACAGCCTCGAACCCGCCGAAAAGTCCGGGGGTAGTGGCAAGAGCTCCGGCCGGGTGAAGAAAAAGAAAGGAACAAAGTTCCACTGCACCGGGTTTGGCTCGTGTAATCTGGCATTCACGAGGAGCGAACATCTAGCCAGACACATACGGTGAGTTCCTTGCCTAGCGTTTCGCCGCGACTGCCAGCGTGCGCGCGCGCATCTTTCGCGGACCCTGATGGTTGGTCTAGTAAACACACCGGCGAGCGCCCATTCATGTGTCACTGCGGCCGATGGTTCTCGCGACTCGACAACCTCAGGCAGCATTCGTCGACTGTGCACGCCGACGAGGAGATACCGTCCACTTCGCTCGCCGCGACCGGAACCCGGTATCAACGCCATGGGCGCCCCGAAAGAGTGCGCCCGAGGTCGAGGGCGCAGAGCCAAAGTGACATCCAACCACCGACGGAGCAGCAATTGCAGCCAACGCCACCAGCAGCGCTTGGATCCCCCATGGAGGATCGCCGGACGCGAAGGCGACCGGATCCGATCGTGGTCCCTCAGGATGTGGGCCAGGACGAGGGCGCTTTTAACCAGTACAGAGATCACACACCCCCAGACTCGCCGATCTCGTCGGTGTCCACATTCAGGTTTGGCGGCGTGTACAGGAATCGCACTGCCACTTATCCCGCCGTCGCGGAATCCCCAGCTGCCACGCCCACATCGAGTCGGATGGGAAGCACTACGGACAGTCCGTTTGGCAGTCCTAGCGGCTACTCGCATAGGAATTCCGTGGTGTACGATGGTACGAGTTCGTCGGTAGCCGCGCGACGGCTTTCCATGCCGCACCCGCCCACGCCGTCATTGTTCGCTGCGCCCCAAGTTTTACCTCGTCCTGGCTATGCCACCCCCTCCGCAGCCCCTGGGTCGCGACGTGATTCGCTCACTTCCGTCATCGACGACGACCGTCGACGAACCTGGCACATGGGTACGCAGGTCAATCTGAACTTTCAGAGGGACATCGTATCGCCCACGACTCAGAGCTTTGCACGAACCACGATCCATAGTCCTACGGAGCCCGGCCACCCGCCAATCGGTCAACCCCGGCCAGCACATACGGATAGGCTGCCCAGTATACATCATGTCCTCCAGGAATTCGCGCCGTCCACTCCCGAGCATCAGCGAGCATCGTGGGCTGGCGATATCTTGGAGAGACCGGGAACATCGGAACTCAAGCGGCCCTTCCACGAAGGTATTTCCGCCGTATCCGGGCGTCGTGTGGCACCCGGTCAAGTGAGGTCGAGCCACGGTAGGTCCGTCAGTAACATCGAGACGAGGAGATGGGGAGGTGGACAGAGCAACCCATTCTCGGGACCTTGGGGTGGCGACCCTCGGGATCGTCGTGAGGTTTCGCTGCAGCCAAATACGCAGTTGCCGGTTGAGACCAATAGGCATTCGGGATACTTTGGAGGAGTTCTCTCCAATATACCAAGCCCGAGGGAGCACCGACATTCGTTTGGGAGCTCGGACTCGAGTGTCAGCGAGGGTCTTGTGACCCCAGTTGCACCTTTACGTGCGCAACCACGGATACTGGGCGAACCCGGAGATGCTGTGTTCCATACAGAGGTAAGATAGTAATCCGGCTATTCGTCTAACCGCTACGCGAGGCCGTTCCCGAGGGAGACGAACCGTTTGCTGACTCCGTGCAGAGTCCGGACAAGGACTACATCGACCGTTCCTGCGAGATGACCGGCGTCGAAACCACCGGTCAATCACCGTCTACATGTAACGAGCGGATAAACGCGGGGAACATGGAGCAACACGCTATGCCACCGGACTTTCCGGTATCCCGACTCGATGCCCTGGTTTCTGCTGCGGCTGTGGCGGCCAAGATATGAGCAACACTCCTCTTATCAGCATCCGACGGCTCGGGGGGATGTTATCGCCGGTTTATTTGTTTTGCGTTGTCTTGGAGTACGAGTCGATGCGACGTGTTTCAGGGCGTCGTACAATGGCCAGCACACCTCATAGGGTTCACATTCGCATCCCTGCGCCATCCGGTGCAAGGCTGCTATCGTCCGGTCTCCGGTACATCAACCTTTCTCGATATTGCCAATCTGTTTTTTGCCGTGTCCTGTACAAACAACACCTTCGCTTTTTCTCTCCATCTCTTCTCCGTCTATCTGTTTTTTTTTTTCCTTTCTTGTTTTTTCTTTTTTCCCCTTTCCTTTCCGAGGCGGCGGTGGCGCGGAGGTTGTGTGGCGTATTCGGAGCTTTTTCTTGCTTTGTTTTTGTGCATTTTACCTTCTCTCACCGCTACTTGTAGGGTTTCGAATTTTCCGGCGCATCTATCGGGGCGGAGGGCTGTTTTTGTTTTTTTACCTCCATCAACGGTCGTTGTGTTGTCTGATCTCCATTTTTGTGGTTGGAGAGAGAGAGAGGGATGGAGGGGGGAGGGGGAGGAGGGAGGGGTGACGGACTTACATACGACCATGCTCTATCCTATCTGCATCGACGGTGGGCCATGCAACACAGTCTGCTTATTTCTAAGGACTGTCAGGAGAGACGAAACACGAAAGATTTACGAATGGCTTCGACGACTACTACTACGACTACGACTACGACTATCACTTTTTACATCTCCTTCTGCGTTCGGTTTGGATTGGGGGGTTTGGTATGAACTGGGAAGGAAAGGAAAGGACGCTGCATGTTTGATCTCTCATGTTTACTGCGCTGCTGTCTGGTTGTTATTTTGCATGCATATGATGGTCTGGGCGAGGTACGGAAGGAATGACCGGCGGCCACAGCAAGGAAACGGCCGGTTAGGGGAGGGCCTGGGGAGACTGTGATTTGGTTCTTTGGTTTACCGGCGTCAAATGGGATTTTTTGTTTTCGTTTTGCTTTTTGTTTTCTACTTCTTCTTCTTATTCCTCTGTTCCTGCCCCATATCTCTGTCCTGTCTACCATAAGAGGAATTGAAAACTGTGCGTTTTTATTTGATCTGATCAGTGATGGTGGTGCTGATGGTGGTGTGGGGTTAATGGCGGGGATGTGGATGGCGTCGAGAACTGGTAGGGTTGCTACTTTGCGGATGCAGGTCGTTGTCGCTGCGTACATGATCTGTGTATAGTAGAGTGCCTCTGGGGTCGTCTGCCATCCCATCCCCGGCCGTCGCTGCCGGCTTGCGGCCTGCGGCCTGCGGCTTGATGGAGGTGTGCCTAGATACGATACGGGGGTGTTTCAAATATGGCGGTTTTCTTGGTGGGGGGTTCGGTTCGATGGTGGGATAGTGGGATGATTGTCGGTGAGTGAGGATTTGTGCTTGTGCTTGTGCTCAGGTGAGCCGTTCATTGCTTTTGGTTTGGAGTCTGGAGGTGTGGTCCGTGTCAACACAGAGCCGCACTCATGCTGGTCGATGCGGCGGGGGTAGTTAGGGCTGCTAGTTAAGCGAGAATGGAAGAATAATGCTTGTTGAAGAAGAAGAAGAAAGAAAGTTGCGACGACGACGCCGCCACCTCTACCTCTACGTCCTCCGACAACGAACAATCTCCAACGAACAATCTCCAACGAACAATCTCCAACGAACGAACAGAGTCGCAGCCATGACCTCCTCCAACAAAAAGAAGCGTGCGAAGATCGCTGACTTCAAGGTACCCCCCTCGTCCCGCGGCGCTCCTCCCTCCCTCCCGTAGTCCCTAACCCGCCGTGTGTAGAAACAAAAGCTCCGCGTCGGCAAGACGCCCGCTCAATCCGCCAACTTCACGCCGACCTCCTTCCGCACCAAAGCGATCGTTCTCGCCTCGCAGAACGTGCACCACGTCGTCGACATAACCGCGCAATTCCAGCACCACGTAACCCTCTTATCGCACCACACGCCCGCGACGCGAAAGGATAGTCTCCACTACCTCTCCCTGCACCTCCCTTCCTCGCCGCTCCCCTCAGCCATCCTCCTCCCCAAGCTCGCGCCATTGATCCAAGACCCCTCTTCCAGCGTCCGCGCCGCGCTCCTCTCCCTCCTCACCACCCTCCCCGCGCGCGACGCGCGCCTACACCTCCCGCCGATCCTGCTGCATATCTGGAGCGCGATCTCACATATCCAGCCGGACGTGCGCGCGGACTCGACGGGGTTCTTGCAGTGGGCGCTGCGTGCGGCGCCGAGGGAAACGCTCGCGCACGGGGGGTGGGAGAAGGGGCTGATCATGTTTGTGGGACTTATGGGGTTCGGTGATGCATCCGTTGCGGCCGGGTCGAAGGGCGCGAAGGCTGTCTTGAGGCATTTGGGTGTGTTGAGGGAGTTTTTGGAGGTGGGCTGTCCTGGCGAGGGCGAGGGGGGCGGGGACGGGGGGAGGGTAAGGGGGGTGGGGGGATTGCATTGGAGTGCCGCAGTGCAGTTGAGGAGGGCGGGGGCGGCGGAGTTTAGGTACTTGGGCTTGTTTGAGGTGGGCGATGGAGAGGGGCCGGAGGATGCGGAGGGCAGGAGGAGGTGGTGTAGGGAGAAGGGGGGCGAGGCGGTTAGGAGGTTGAGGAGGGGGCTGGATGGGCTTGCAAAGGAGGGGGGAGAGGTCGGCAGGGCGGCCGGGAGGGTTGTGGCTACGCTTGAGGGCGTGTTGGAGGTGAGGGAGGAGTAGGGAGAGGGTTTTGTGGATTATACGGCGTTTTGGGTTTTTAAAATGGAGGTTTTGAGTGGAAGGTGATGGTCATGGCACTTGCACGGCGAGCGGGAGATGTGCTGAGTGGGGTAGAGGATTGGCTATAGATACGCAGTTCAAAGACTCTAGAGCATGAAGGCTGGTCCCGTAAGGCCCTGATCAAAGACCGTCTTCATTCCCAGGCCCATTCCTCATCAATATGGCGAGAGCCGTGGCCGCTCGTTGCTACGGGTTCGAGTGACGTTGCATGACACTATCCGCAAGTCGACGAGACGCCGATCGTTGCGTGGAGACACAGCGGACGGCGGAGGGAAGATGGCCGCTATTACATAAGTGTACGTAGGGTGGGTGCATGCACCTTGATGGATTCGGGCCAGGAACAGCCCAGGGAGGAGCCTTGAGCCTTAAGCCTTGAGCCTTCTCGCTGCAGTGTATTTACTTCCATGCCACGACAACCGGCAGCACCACCAGCGCCGGCACTATTATTACCTCTCCAAAGCACAGCGGCCGGTCCGCTGTAGCCCCCCTCCTCGTCTACTTGCTCCTGTTTCCTTCGTCCACTCCACCGCAGTGCAGAGCAATGTCCTCCCCCTCCCCACAGCTCTCATTCGTGACTGCGTCCTGCGCCTCCTCCACCTCCTGCGCCTCCTCTGCCTCCTGTGCCTCGGGCACATCCAGCTCCCACCTCCGGCGCTCCTACCCCAAGTCCGCATACCCGCCCATCCCACCCATCCCACCCATCGTTCCCGACTCTCACCCGCACCCGCACCTGGAGGACCCGGGGGACATCCGCCAGCTGCTATGGCCCGCCGAGCGGCTGCCGTACTACAGCAGCAAGAGCGGCGCGTTCCTGGGGACTATCAACGCAAGGATGAGGTCACGCCCTACCACGCTCACCGCGAGAGCGACGCAGCGCAGGTATGCGCACGCCATATTGGAGAGTATGCCGGTGGATGGGAGGGATCCGATGTGGAGGGAGGGGGTTGCGGGTGCGGCCTGTGCGGCTGCGGGTGGGGACACGGGACTGTGGGATTCCCCCGATGAGCCGTTTCCCGAGGAGGGGGTGGCGGCGCAGTTGAGGCAGTATGGGGAGGTTCGTTCCTTTTCTTCTAATATATGGGTGGTGTGACGCTGATGATAACGCAGATGTTTGCCTACCTCTCCCGCCTATACGAGAATGCTTTGAACTGCCCTCGGCAGCTCAAGCGGGCCGAGCAGATTGTGCGGCGAGGCCGCGAGATCCTGGCGGCTGTGCGGCTGCTGGCCGGACAGCCACGGAGGAATCATCCGCCCGCTGGAGGTACCGAGGCTAGGAATACGAGTGAGGTTTCGCTGTGGGGCTGGCAGCCGCATAGGGAGATTGAGCTGGCGGAACGCGTCTGTGAGCGACGAAGGCTTAGGGCGGCGGAGGCTAGAGCGAGTGCTAGGGAACAGAAGACCCTGAGTAAACGCGGGCCGCCGAGGGAGTGGAAACTTAAACCTTCGTCTTCGGTTGAGGATGATGATGATGATGATGATGATGATGATGATGATGATGATGATGATGATGATGATGATGATGGTGATGTTGGTGGTGCCGTGCAGGCGGAGGAGGGCAGGGACGATGGGGGAAACGAGGCGGGGGAGGGAAGGCAGAAGACCTGGGCTGAGGAAGAGCTGGAGCGGTCCAGAAGGCGGAGGGCGAAACTCGCAGCTGCGGTGACTTCGGACGAACCCAACGGCATAAACCTTCCTCTCCTGTATGGAGGCAACGACAGTAAGACCGAATTACCTGTTGACCAACGCCCTCCAATCCTCGTCTTCCCTCGACGGCCGGAGCCCATTCATTGGACTTATCCCAATTGGAACGACGGCTGGGACATACCTACGCTCAGGCTACCGCCGCCTCAGAACGAAAAGTATACCACCGCAGTAGTATCGTCTGGAGATCGGTTCCTGAGGACCCACACCATAAAAGATTCGATCGAATGTTTATCCATACCAGCGTATCGCCGGCCAATTTCGGAGCCCGTATCACCGAAAACGGTGCCGGTTACTTCTCCATTCACCACCACCACCGAGGAATCCAGCTCGAATTATGCGACAACCGATAGCGAGCAAATAGCCCTGGCCGCGAGCCTATCCCCGATCACAACGCCATCCACGACGAACCAGACATCCTCGAGCAGCAACTCGATGGGTTCCGGGAATCCAACACTGCGCAAGTTTCGAGCCGCTTTCAAAAGCGTGTTCCCAAATGGCCAGAAACGTCTTCCCTGGGCATCAAAGCGAGGTGCCGCTTCCCTTCAGCCGTCTGCGCCGATGGCCGTTTCGCCGCAGGAGGAGGAGCCTACGAAAGTCACCGAGATTACGTTACGCTCGAATAGAACCACCACCTTGGAAAGAGTCGACTCACTAAGCGGGACAGACCGTAGCGAAGGGGAGAAACTGACAAGGACCGAGAGAGAATACCAAGAGATCTTGGAGGCTCTACGAGGAACGAGGCGGGAGTTGATGGTGGAAAGAGCTGAACGGCGGAGATCGAGAAGCCGAGGCAGACGGTTGGAGCGGGGACGCAGCATTTCGAGGAGCAAGAGCAAGGAAACCGTGAGGCAGAGCCGGGAGACTGTCAGGTGGTGGCTGGGAGAGGTGCATCTGGCGGAATAGCTGTGACGGATGGTGTCCGAGGCTTGTCCATACGCAGTTGCGGTTGCTAATGCTTTAGGTGTTGACGGGTGTGGGGATGGCAGCGCAGGTTTCCTAGTGGCCGGGTTTGGCTGCAGGTTAGGTCTGCATTTGGGAGTGGCTTTTGGCAACGCCTCTTTTTTGTACAGAATTGAACGGCGAGTTCATCCAAGTTCCAACTTGGAGCTGAAGCTCCGTCGAACTCCCCGTGAAGCTGCCCGCGTATATGTCGGCAATCATTGACACATCTCTGAGACACCTGTGCTAGGTATCTCAATCGAGATGGCCCCCCGCCTGATTCGCCCCCACCTCTGATAAGCGGGTTAGTTATCGATAAAGGCGGATCACCCCGCGGAGAACGCAGGGGCCAGATCGAATAAGGCTGTCCGGTAACTAGAGTAGCACGAAACTATTTCACCATACAAGTAACTATCTCGAGTTTATCTACGCGACGCGGATACAATCCCTCAAGGCACACAAGAGACGGGTACATATAATCGGCCTGTGATTAGACCTTGCCATTATACAATTCCCTCTGCGTAGCCGTCGGCGCGTGGCCATTGTATCATCCGTCGTCATGGCGCCGGCGGAATGGATCTGCTACTGTCCTGTCCCGCCGGACCGAACACCACGTTACGCCTCGTTAAGTGTCGCTCCAAGGCAAGGCATGTCACACCATCGTTGTATGTGACTTGTATCCGTTGCACGCGTGGTACGGCGTTGCCGAGCCTTCCGCCCACCCCGCAACCACGATACGCCCTGCCTGCCTGCCTGCCTGCCTGCCTGCCTGCCTGCCTGCCTGCCTGCCTGCCTGCCCCGCATCTGAATCCGTCACATGTGGTTGTGTGAAAGCTATGGCTAATGGATGGAGGGGAGATCAACATCCTGCCGGTACCCTACCTATCATGTCGGATATCTGCGAGCTGGGCAACCGTCGATCGCTGCCCAGCGACAGCTCGAGGAGAGGGTACTTAATGCTTCCAATGCCTTGAGATATCCAGTTCCCATCCCTCATCTCATCTCATCTCATCTTGTCTTGTCTTATATCGAATCCTTGATTTCATATCCAAATTCCTACCTAAACCATCTTCACAATGCCTGTTGGACCCATCCGCACCGCCCTCAAAGTCGACCTCGACAAGCCTGCGCCCTCGCAGGCGGGCCTCCACAACCGGTGGCACCCGGACAGTGAGTACCCTCGTCCCCAAGTATCCTTTCTCCTCGCTGACTCAGCATAACGCAGTTCCCTTCGCGGCGACCATCCAGCCCGGCGAGGTAGTGACGATCGAGTGCGTAGACTGGACCGGCGGACAGATCAAGAACGACGACTCAGCCGACGACGTCCGCGACGTCGACCTGAGCTGTGTCCACTTCCTCTCGGGGCCGTTCGAGATTCCTGGCGCGGAGCCCGGAGATATCCTCACCGTTGAGATCCAGGATGTTCAGCCGTTCGCGGAAAGACCCTGGGGCTTCTGCGCGGTGTTTGATAAGAAGAATGGTGGTGGGTTCTTGGATGAGGAGTATCCCCAGGCTGCTAAGGGTATGTGACCTCGAGGAGGGGGGTGTAGGGGGGGGGGATGGCGGATGGCTGATGACTGGTGACCCTATAGCTATCTGGGACTTCGAGGGCATCTTCTGCAGCTCGCGACACATTCCCGGTGTGCGGTTCCCGGGATTGATCCACCCCGGTATCATGGGGTGTGCGCCGTCGACCGAGCTCTTGGCCGAGTGGACCCGTCGGGAGAGTGAGCTCGTGGCTACCAGCGAGCTTGCGAAGACCCGTGATGTCGCGCTGCTGCCCGAGCCAAAGAGCATCCATGCCGGCTCGGCAACCGGCGAGTTGAAGGCGAAGATCGGTGCCGAGGGTGCTAGGACTATCCCCGGTCGTCCTGAGCACGGTGGTAACTGCGACATCAAGAACTTGTCGCGTGGATCGAAGACTTACCTGCCTGTGCACATCAAGGGTAACTACCCCCGCTACCCCTACCATTGAATTGCCACCGAACTGATCACGTCCTCCACAGGCGCCGGCTTCTCCGTTGGAGACCTCCACTTCTCTCAAGGCGACGGTGAGATCTCGTTCTGCGGCGCGATCGAGATGGCCGGGCGGATCACCGTCAAGTTCGACATCGTCAAGAATGGCATGGAGACGCTGGGGATGAAGTCGCCGGTGTACATCCCGGGGCCGGTAGAGCCCAACTTCGGCCCCGGCCGCATGCTCACGTTCGAGGGCTTCTCGGTCGATTCCGCTGGAAAGCAGCACTACCTCGACGTCAACGTCGCTTACAAGCAGACTTGCTTCAGGGTCATCGAGTACCTTAAGCGCTTTGGGTACAGTGGTGGTGAGTTGCCTTCTTTCTTCCTTCCCTCCCGCCGAGTAAGACGGATGTACAGGTACTGATCATGTGGGCAGAGCAAATCTACCTCCTCCTCTCGTGCGCCCCCGTGCAGGGCCACATCGGCGGCATCGTGGATATCCCCAACGCCTGCACGACCATGGGCCTGCCCATGGATATCTTCGACTTTGATATCTCGCCTGCCTTTGCGTCTAAGAACGGCGGTGTCACGAAGATGGACCTCGGAAGCTGCGCGTACACTAGTGATCGCAAATAGGCGGCGGCGGTGGGAGACGTGGTGAATCGTGTACTTTAGCAAGCTGTGTACTTATCTACTTACCCCATTGTACTTTGTATCGCTTGGATTGTATCTTTTGGATCTTCCTATACCATTGATGGATGCTGTGCGATCGAAATCATGTGCCAACTGGGGGCCGTGGGGACTGAGGAATTGAGTCGTCCTCGAACGGTGCGAGTGACGCATAGTGAATGCGTGTGTACAGTCCGTAGTTGACGCTGGGGGACGGATAGGTTTCACAGACGCCTAGGTGTTTCGCCCCGCCCCTGCTATGAAGTGAGGGTGAGTGCATCACCATCCAACCCGTTCCCGATCCATCCGCCCACGAACTTAAGGCGCTGTTTTCACCACTCATCTACCCAACCAAGGAGTTCACACCGTCTGCCCGCTCTTTCAATTTCTTTCAATTGTCCAGGAGCACTGGAGTACCGGCCCCTGTGTCCTCTCGAGTCTCGAGTCGGTTTCGAGTGATCAAGTGCACTCTCCCAATGTGTACTATGCACACGGTGGTGGATCATGGTGGGTCTATGGCTCTATGCCATCGAGATTTGAAAATAGAAGTGTGGCAGTGTATGTAAGCTTTAGGGATGACACGATTCAAGCACATACCTACCAGGTACTTGGTATGCACCATAGGGCCGTCGGCCATCAATTAGGTACATGCATACGTTTTGTTCCCCGAGCCTCAGATAGGTAGAGGATACTACATACGACAGAAAAATAAGCCGGACTGGGTGAAAGAGGCTGATTCTGGTGAGAAGCCAGGGACAATACTAAGAAGCCACAAAGGCTGCTTATGTTTACGGCGACGATGCGGAAGGACAGAGAACAGTACACTACAAAGAACCAGTGACCGGAATAGGCAAATAGACGCCTGATAACCGACAGCAACAGACCGCGGTAGGGAATGATGCCCTATGATGGACGGCCCGTAACGACGGCGCGGGCAGACATCGGACAACACTATCTTCGGCTGGAGACTAACTACTGCAGCAGCACAGTCAGATTGGGCCAGGCCCGGATAAACTCTTTCCGAATTCCGAGCGGGAAGACTGAGAAGTGGCGAGGTCAACATATGTGGCTTGTTTTTGTTTCATCGTTTCTGCTGCGTTCGGGCGGTTTCGGCCAAAGCAGCTACCGGTATCAGACATATGAGTTCTAACCCCGCCTCCTCCTCTATATCAGAGGGCCGGAGCACCCTCATCACTCCCCGGCAGAAGAAAAACCGCTTTAGGTATACATGTTATTGGAGACGAAAGAAAAGCTCCGGCTTCTACTCCCTGATTTCTTTCCCGAAATATTTCCCGCCCTCTGTCCTGTCAAGCCGCCGCCTTCCGGTGGGACCGTGCTGCTGACGTCGTCACTCGTCCAAGATCAGTGCTCCTGATAGTCCAGTCCAGTCCTGACTGCATCAGTCCAGTCCCGTCCATAAAATTGGAGGACGGTTTGAGTTCAGTCCGTCCCAAAGTTTTCCCGCCTCGGACTGCAGTCGACTACAGTCGACTGACAGACTGCCACTTTCTGAAATTTGTGGGTCGAACTATTGGGCTAGCGGACATGACTCTCGCAACTTTCTAACGTATCATCTGTTCTCTTTTCGTAAAAGCGCCGTACATTACAACGTGTTGAGCATCGAGATATATATGGTGGAGGTTTTCTAGTAGGAACCGCCTCCATGCGATTCCATCGACAATGTGGTACAGTAATGGGCGGATCAATCACATGAACCTGGCTGGAAAGATCCCGCGAGAATGGCCCTCGAGTACCTATTTGAGCATTCCCGCCATGAGCGCAGAGACGGAACGAGGGTTTAGTGGGGCTAAAATCACACTCTCTCATCGCCGCTGCAGCATGGGTGACGACGCACTAGAGGCACTGGAATGTCTCAAAACTGGCAACGAGCTGGTCATGTAGCTGCTACAAAGGACGGTATCGAGGAGATGGAGACTATGCCCAATGCTCTGTGCGACGAGGATTTGCAATAGCTGTCCTATAGCCGTGTACAAAAAGTTCATTACTGATTTCAAATATTTTCCGTTCAAAGTACCAGTCCATCCAGTCGACTGCAGTCCGTCCAGCCCTTCCGGTTGCGCAGACTGCCCAGTCCAGTCTACGCCTCCAGCCAGACTGAACCTATCAGTCCAGTCCGACATTTGCCGAAAGACGGACTGGACTGATTGATTGATTGATTGATTGATTATTCATATAGCATGGAACCCTAAGGTTATGGCCGGTAGAGGTATCTACAATACAACATTTTGACAAAGAAATTCCACAACCAAATCCATACAGAAGTGACAGCAAATCCCTTCGTCGTCGCAATATTCAAAACTGAGCCTCCGAAGAGGCTCGGTTTGTCGGTTTGTGCGCTGTAGCGGCGCGTCGTAGCCCTCCTCTTCTCCAAAAGGTACCTCCACTCGGTACTACCCTCAACATAACCAGTCTAGCGCACACGGCATGATGCTCGAAAGGAATCGTCGTCTCGGGGTTTGCATAGCTATCAAGGCCGGGGCTCGATGAATAGCAGCGAAGAGATTTGGATCGAAGGCGGGGTTGGCAAAATGCCAGTCGTCGTGGTCAACGTGGTCCTGGGCCAAGCCCTGAGCTCTCCCCCTGGAGTTCACTCTCCTCCCCGCCGTCGCCGTATCGCCTGCTGAACAGGCTCTACTAGAGTGATGAAATCGATGATGATGTGCGGGGAAGCGATGGTGAGACTTCTTCAGAGGTTCGGACGTAGTACCCGTGGTGGTGCAGTTCTCCGGTCAGGGACCGAGGCTCGATTGATCTCTATCGCTTCATGCTCATCGTCGTTGAATTCGTCGGTCGGAGCACTCAATCCGCGATCGGAAAGAGTGGACACACACGCCACATGAATCCTGAAGCCAAAGTGAGCGGGGCATTTGGTGTGCCAACACATAGTCTTGGCATTTCTGGAAGGTTGGTGTGGTTGTCGGAGAGTGTGTATCGACGGACTGGACTGCACTAACTACCTATGGCAGGCACCGTCTAAGATATTGCACATTTGTCATATTGGTAATATGCGCCTCGAGAATCCTGTTTATCCTCATACTTGCTTCTGCTTCTCTCTGGTATGTCTAGCTGACCATCCGCTGTGTTTTGCGCACGAATCGAGCAACTGAAAAACATCACACTCATATTTTCAACAGCAGCTGGGGAAGAATGCAGAGTGATATCTCAAGATGGCTAAAACGTCCGTAGTTGGCCAAGGCTCACTCGGACATAACTAGTAATGATGGGGAATAGACATCCGCACAAGCTCCTCGGCCGGCGTGCGCTGAAGCACATGACCATACTCCCGCCGCTTCGCACCGCGGTCGCCTCCCTGGCAGGCGATAGGGCTCGTGGGCTAACTGCGTGTTAGTACCAGCGTAGGCTGGGCCGGGGTACTATATCCAGTCCGATGCCCTGTATGCTCGGGAAGCGGGCCTTACTCCACGCGATTGGAAGCAATAACGGGACCGAAGCTCTGAGCTCGAGTGAGAGTGGGAGCTTACACAACGTTCGGTTGACCTCGGTTCCGGAATAGAACAATCATAGTACTAGTATTCTTAGGACTGTGAGCCCAATAGCATTTGTCTATATAATTGTTTCTCTGGTAAGTTATTATTAGTTGGAAGGAAGAAGAAAGAAAAAGGTGTGAACACCTAAGCGAATGAGAAACCGAAGTGGTTTCGGATTGGACTTGGACTGGAATGGGTAAGTTGGGCCGGTGGTGGAGCCGCGGCAGCCGCGGTTTGGACGTCAGGTGAACACGAGGATCGAGACTATTATTTGCAATTCACTTTATAGGTCACCGTGGACTACTCCGAGAGAGTGAAAATATGATGAGCAAAAAATAACACACAAAGTCCTCTCGTCAGCCCCGGAGGGTCTTCATTGCTGAAGCGTACCATATATCCGAGCAAGAGGAAAGCCAGACCAAAAGAAAGTTAGAACAGACGAAAACCCTAGGTGAAGGACCGTAAGAAGAAACCAAGAACCGATGAGCAAAGACCCAAAACATACATACGCAGACCGAAGACCCGGGCATAAGCAAATCAAGCTCCACCCAACCAAACCCGACGTGATACCTAAAAACGATGGTATGAAATGATGCAGCCGCCCAAAATTCCGTGAAATCGTAACGAAGAAAACGTGACCAACATCCATCTCACCCTTCCCCGCTCAATTTTCCTCAAGAATCCAAGTGATCACTGATCATGAGCTTTGACGTGAATTTGCCGCTGAGGCTGTCACAGTCGTCCCTCGAATACTGTGCTGCCTGACGTAGCGCGAGGTATTGCTCTGATTCTTGCAGTTTAGCTCCACATCCGTCTTTTGCGAACAGGGGTGAGTTTACCGAGCTTGGGGGCTTGCTGGCTCATCGTCTTCAGGTACTCAACCGCTTCCTTCTCATGGCCGGTCACCTGGCTCGCCTGATTTTGATCCCAATCGGCCGCGAACGGGACGAATCCCCGGGAAACCGTGCGGAAATGCGATACAAGCATTTCCGCAAGGCGTGCGTTTTTCCCAATCAACATAGAGGGTGACGCTCCGAGGGGCCACAAGAAGGCCTTGCTTGGGTTGGATTGGGAATTCTTTATATTCTATACCCCAACGAAGATTAGCGACACTTTCGCAACAGGCTCTGGGGAGGGTACTAGCTGCGGATAAAACTTACCAGTTGGAGAAACCGTTCTTGTAGAGTAGGGCCATCGTGCTCCCAAGTGTTCAAGCCCCAAGTGTCTCGCTCAATACTGCTGAGGTGCACGAAGATCGTCAAGAAAATTCCAAACCAATCGGTCGAGTTACGATCCAAGATATGATTTTGAAGTTCCGTCAGCAGTTCATTCTCCATCGTAGCAACTCTGAGCTCAAGCTGGGCGTCTAGCTGCTGGTTGATCAACCGCGGGAGCGGGATGAAACCATGGAATTTCATTTCTGGGTCGTTGATTGGTTCCATCCCCAATGTGTTTACACCACAGATTCTCCATGAGCTGCGAAAGAAAAAAGTTTGCGCAACCCAAATACGTAATACCTTTTGGACTAGGACGCTCTATTTACTCTCATTGTAAGCTCCTGCTATACTATAATCCGGAAGTCCGGGCGGGGTACATACCAGGTTTTTGTTTCCTTGTGCGTATTCCTGGGCTGCTCTCATCGTGCTTGCGAATATCGGAACTTCATCGCTAGATGGCCTCAATTCATCGTTGATGAAAGATTGAACGTGCTTGTCGAGATATTCGTCGAAAGTTTCGGGCGATATCTCTTCCTTTATACCATAGCATGTCGAGGGAAGGCGAGTGAAATCTGGACTGCCAGAAACCCGCCATACAATATGCTGGAGCAATGTTTCATCGTGGGGTACGAACTGATAAGCCTTCAGTTGAAGGCTTGGTGAGTATCCGTTGTGAACCTCAAAGATTTCTCCACCAAGGGGGACAGAGCCAGCCATTTCAACGTCCCAAATTCGAACGTTCTCGAGGAGTGATACAACCCTGCCCCGATATATCACTAGGAGATAATCGTTAGTACAGGAAGTGATCGGGCCCGGCCCTGAACTTCAATACCTCGATTGAAAACTGCTTTTTCCTTGAACTGCGCTGGAACGCAGATTGATTTCCATAGTTTTAAAGAGAGACATCGTTCGCATGGGATGCCGCCACGGCACTAGTAGAACCAAACACCCGCTGTCAGATCACCAGCACGTTGAACGGACGGATCATAGAGAGCTTGCCTTCTCCTTATAGATTTTACACCTCAAACAGACACCGTGTTTGCGATTCCGTTTGATGGCTTGTCGCTCCAACTCGTCGGTGCGCCTCCTGCCTGACCCCTTTCCCGCCATCGGCTTATTGTTCTCCCTATTCCTGCTCCGCGTAGGTTTGGGATTCTCCGCTGGATTGGTGCCGGGTGGAACCAGAACAAAGCATCCAGGTTCGTCGAGTTCACATGTCGTCAGGGCCTCTCTATCACTGCCGTAGGTGCTGGATGACGGTGAGTGCTGGGGGCTGGATATAGGTGGGCTTTCACCATCGGCGGACGGCGGTGAGAGGTTATCGAACCTCGAGAACTGAGAGGGGAATTCATGGGGCAATGGTGGGCCAAAAGCGGTCGGCAGGGGTAGTGACGGCAATTGTTGATTACGATCCCGATCACCCTTGATGATCGTAGGATCGATGTTGTGGGACCGCCCACGATGGGATAACACTTCTGCAGAGTATCTGCATCAGTAAGGTAGGATGGTGTGTGATGAAGTGGTCATGTAGTACCGTGATGATCTGGAGCTGATAATCCTTCAATTGTCGGAAGGGAGCTGCGAGGTGCTAGATTTACCCCAGTGCCGGGATTTAGAGGCTGTTACAAGTCAACCCAATGCAGTGAACCCCAACCTAGCTCTCGTCGGCCATAGGATTGGTTGAGGATAGGCAGACAGAACGAGAGCTCGAAGAACGGACGCATGGCACTCACCCGACTCGTTGCCGTGTAAGCAGGTTCGGCGGTTAGAAAAGTAGAAGTGTAACTTCCAGAAGGCTGATTGAGGAAATCTGGCGCGGAACCTCGCCGTTCTGTGCGTAAGAGAAGAGGTATGTCTCAGCAGCTGAACTAAAGATCCCACGAACACGACAGCATGCGAGAACTAGAAGCCCCAAGCATCTATCGACACGAGACCGGTGGCATTGCAGCACCAGAACTCCATCATATGCGACATGGTTCTGCACGCGTTCTCGCATGTTCGTGGCAGGCGATCGCGGGGAAGGACGAAGAGCTACCTTGGGCACTGTAATGGCAGCCGTGATGGTAGAGCTGAGGACTGGGAGTCCGGTTCTGGCTCCATCGATGCCTGCAAAGGTCGATTCTGTATCAGTATGGGCTCTTGTAGTACAGGTCCCGTAGAACCCGATAAGCATGCTGCACAGACGCGGACGCAATCTCGAACTGTTACTTCCGTACCATTCATTACTACTCTGCTCCCCCTGCTCCGGGTGTTGTTGCCCCCGCAGAGGGTGGGATTCTGCGGTGGAGTGTCGGCTGGTTACAGTTAATAAACCCCTTCTCCTTTCATCGTGAAATAACAACCGGCAGTCGTCGTGGAGACGTACCGTGCCATGGTCAGCAGGTAGGAGGTATGCTTTGGTGATGGGAGTAGGCGAAGGCGAAGGCAATTTTGGTGAGACGCGCTGTATGATTCCGGTGTCGAGGCAGTTCAGTTGCTGAGAAAGAGCTCCCTGTGAGGGCCAAGTTCCGTGAGTTTGCACTGGTGAAGGGCGTATATCTTGATGCTTTTAGAGAAGAATGGCGGCTACTTACCAGTGCAAGACTTCAGCAGTCATAAACATTCTGTGTGCGCACAGAGAGACAAACCCGAGGAATTGGCGATTCGCTAGGGACATTTGGACAGGCATGAGGAGGAGAGGAAGAAGAGGGGCCACACAGCGCAATTGGTTGCACCTACCTTTGTTGACATGCATGGCCGGTTGCGAGCTTTTGCGACTTGTACCCATTCGTCGCCGGTCGATGCCTGGTCGATGCCTGGTCGTTCGGGTTTTGGAGGACAAAATCCCGACCGCCGCCGACTCCGCCGACTCCCACTCCGCTACATACTTCTCCGGGAAAATGGATTTATTTGTGAGCCATGCAATGTCTTTCTTCTGGATGGCCACACGCGGAGGGACTTGCTGGCAAAGCCGTGGCCTGGTTCTGGAGCTGTCTCATTGTGAGGATATCAATGTCTCAGGTTCGGACGCTCGACTCACGCACATGTGGAATCAGCACGGATGCCGGCTTCCTGTTGGTTCGCGAGACAACCAGAGGGCCAGCCATCAACGTCCAAGAAATCAGCATGCCATACATCTCGGTTGCCGCCATTTATGTGTGTGGGCAAAATAAGTAATTATTCCAGAAACCTCGTGCATCTCTCGCTAGGAGCGTGTGAGGGGAAAACGAAACGGAAGCGGCAGAGACTTCGATTCGCATGCCGAGCAGCGCCACTCGATTCCAAGTTACGAAATATTGTATCACATTATTCCTTCAGCCGAACACTCTGTTCTCCAGACCAACTTAACTCTGGTCCTGTTCGGAATTCAAGGACAATGCTGGCTCCACTGCTGTTGATAAATGTGCAGGAAAACGGACTACGTAGTAGCTAGAGTACCGAGCTGATTAGATAGTACGCGTGTACCAGCTCATCTCCAACTGTGCCGAAGCTGCGTTAGCCGATGGAACCATAGTAAGCCGAAACCACCTTGAGAACTGCGCGGAAAACCAACACCCAGGAGCGAACACCGCGCACGAGTGAGTTCGTATGTATCTGTGTCCGCTAACGACAGAGAGTCCAAGCTTACTACAGCATAGCGGCATAGCCGACGGTGTGTGCTGAACTGAGATCCTTTGCTTGCGGCTCATATTGTGGTACGATGTGCAGATGAGAGCGATGTGATGCGTTCATGAACATATGCCATGGATGCGGGGCACGCTGGGTATGTGACATCGAAGATACGGTCTACGCCGGTTCCCCCCACCTATTCCCCACTATGAGATTCGTCCACAGGAGGACTGTCACCAATCACTGATTCCAATCCAGGAGACCTCACAGGCCACACCCCGATCCGCTCCCATCAGCTGCAGGGTGTTCGAGTGCATCGCGGGCTGACAAACGACATGTGCAGGCCCGCGATTAGGCAGAGGGATTTCGGTCCGCCCGGCAACGTACGGAATTATGCACTGTCGCTGTGCAGAAGCCACACATATCTACGCGCATCTGTATGCAGTTCGGAGGCCGATGATTGGCGGTCGTCCTCCGCTTGCAGGAGTCAAGACGAGATACCCACTTAGACGTGGAGCTAGTCCTCGAGATCCCCGGATTCAAATGAGCGGTAAAAAACGGCCGTCATAAAGACTGGCCACCGAAGCAGCGATCAATATCATTCTTTGACACAATTGTACCGACACCGCGGGACAGGGTCTGGTATGATGTATCGGAAGGGCAGATACGGGCCGTTGGGCTCTAATTCTTCCTCTAGCTGCCTGTTCCGGCGTTACCGTAGGACGACGAGCTTTTTGTGGTATGAAAGGCGAGATAATTGTGATAATCCTACTCAAGGCACATCAACGCACAATATCGCTAGATGCCTTCGTCCGCGTTTGTCGCCATAATGACTCAACGCAAAGAAACGGCTAATAGGTGTCTCTGATCAAACACGTGGCCTGTCATTGATATCCCCTGCCGTGAGTCTTGCCTGATGAGTTGTCTTTCCGTGACTTGATGCCGCCGCTTTAGCATATGTGGTACAAGTTACTGAATGCAAAAGCGCAAGCCAATATGCTAACTACTCGTGCATCAGGATTTGGATTTCGACTTGCGCTGCATTAAATACGAAGGTAGACGCAGGTGTCCAATGGATTCTGTGGCTCATATATCTGCAAAACACAAAAAGTAGATATACCAAGAAATCGGACATCATATGAGACCGCTTGTGCCTCGTTGCAAGTCAGACATCAATGAGAATTCCATGCGCGTCTGCGGTAGGCCAGCTTTCGTTTGATATAATAGGCACTACAACGGTGGGATTCAGCTCGTAGTCGTCTGTATACGCGCCGAGTCTGCAGTCTGCAGTGTGGACTGTGCTTTATAGTTCAATGGGATATTCATAACCTTATCGTTTCGGTACTGGAGACTTAACCAACGAAGGGCTTCCGCTCACTTAGGTTCACCGACAATGTCCTTCTAGCTGGGCGAGAAAACGGATGGACGGGCATGGTTAGACTACCCTAGCCATAGTAGTTGCGCGTTGTTGGTATCAACGAGGTGTGGGCGCGATAATCGTCGAGCGAAAACGGTTATGAAGCTTTTCAGCCACTACCGTATATGTCCCACCATAATTACAGCCACGGGGAAGCAAAATTTCGGGAGAGGGGGGGAAGGTTTGAAAGGACTGGATGGAATGTAACTTTTGCATTTTGGGTTCACGGGATTCTTCCAGACGAACCCGGGACAGTTCCGGAACCTTTCCCACCAGTGATTCTGTGGACGGCGGGAATGTCGAAAAAGAGCGAACTATCTTGGAGCCCGAGTATAGTATGCGGAGAACCGGCCGGGATCAAGAGTGCAGGAGGCTTCTGGTCTCGACAAACTATTTTTCGTTGTGTGTATGCTCATTGACTAAACACCTTAGGATTATCCGGGATCCCGCAATACTCCGCCAGCTATGGGACGATGACTCAAAGAGGCGAGACTGGATGGTTGTGATCGGTCCCGCTGTTTCCACTCACTAATAGCTGTGGTTCACGGATCAAGGCACTGTGAAATGTATTCAGTGCCAGTTTAAAGCAGCCGAGTGCAACACATGGCCAACAGGATTATTCTCCGCGCATCTGACCGTATGCTTGCGGAACATCAGAAAGGCAATATTGCACTCCAGCTTCGGTTTCATTGGTCATGGGACATGGCGGCTGTTTGCAGACGGAGCTCAAACCGGCCTTGGCTCTTTATCTGAAGGAAAACGCTTTGCAAGGCTCTACTTGACCGCCTCTGCCGCATCCGGAGCTGTGGGTGACTAGCGATTTCACCTGGATCACTGCGTGGGCTGTTAGAAAGGTGGATGGCTATTGCCTGAACTGCTGACGATAAGCTACTGCAGTGCCATGACGATGCTTTGTTTGGTTTGGTATATTTTTGACGGGATATGTGGGGCTATACCCAGGCAAGGCTCGTTTAGCAATTGGGCTCTTCAGGTGGCAGGGGGCAATATACGAGAATGTTGATAGCTCGCATGAATGGGAAGTTGAGTGAACCATTAGGGCTTGCCCTGGCTCACCAAAATAGGTGTGTAGTGATGGACTATGGTCCGAGAAGCACGTGCACGCGGGGGCGGTTGCTGACTCTGCCCATGCGATGTTTCCATATCCGAACTAAGTAGACTAGGACATTCAGAGCATCTTTGAGAACATCACTGAATTTTGAAATAAATATGCTCCTCGCCTCGATGCAATCTGCCTGGATTTCTAGATCTAAAACTCTAGTCTACAATTTATTTGCATTTAATGCAAACCCAACAGACCCTCGCATTCATCAACTCGGAATCATCCATCCTCTCGTGACATCCGAACGTCCATGCTGTCTCAGTCGATATGCCCTGGTCAGAGTCGCCATCGTTGACTGTCATCGGCATTGTCACGCTGACCCTTCCAACCGTCCTTTCCACCTCGCGCAGCCCCGGAAAGCCACCGACAGCATCAAAGAGCGTCAGGCCCAACAAACCATCCAGTCCGCGATGAGCCACAAAATCGTAGAACTCGCGCACGAATGCCTTGGGGAACTCTAGTTCCGGAGACTCGGTGGTAGGAGTCGGAGAGGGAGCTGTAGGAGCCAGAAATTGGAATTCTGTGGGGTGCAGCTTGCCATCAAAGAAGGCCCAGCTCCGCGGTACAATACGCCCACCAAAAATGTTTGTTTTGCTGCCGACCGACCACGGTGTGGCTACCCCGCGGTATTCTATTAGTCGCTCGTCGAGAGATAACGAAAAGTGCCGATGCAGCATTATGAGCCCGATTTTGGTGTGTACGCCATAACGATGGAAGATTTCTCTACAATTTTTGACACCAGCGACTAGTGAGAATCGATGTTGCGGATTTGGAAAAGAGCGAACGAAGGGTAGTCCGAAGGGATGGGGACAAACCTACCTCAGGTGAGAGACTTCCGCCTTCTCTATCCGGCCCTTAGTCATGGCTCGATGGGCGTCCTCAAAGAGGGGGAGCTTGTTGAACAAGTCGGGTACGTAATCGGCTGGAGGGTATCGAGACATTGTGGGTTTCGTCGTTGAGCGGCTACTTTGAGAGATCGTTACGCGTTCTTAACGAAAAACTGAGGCTGATGATCGAAAAAGGGTGTGGGAGAAGGAGGGTCTGGACGTTTGTTATCTGGGGACTGAGAGGGAGCGCTCGGCACTGTTGTCTGGTTGTTGAAGGCTGGCTTTTGAAATACTCGCCGGTCAGCATTTCTCGCCCGTGGGTCCATCAGCTTGTGGGTATCTAGTTCTACGTGCTTGGCCCTCCTCTTCAGGAAACTAGCAGTCACAAAGGCATCGACAGCGAGAACGGTTCGGACCAGCCATCATAGGGGCTGGGGCAAATGGGTGGGGGTCATGAGAACCGGTAGGTGGTGTATGGAGGGAATAGCTCGCCCGAGGATAATTTCGCGTCGTAAGTGAAAAGCTGATGCGACGTGGGTGATAGTGCTTCGTCTTTTCAAATCTGTTGTTCACCAAACGACCGCGGGAGGATTTAATTTGCTTGGAAACTTCGATCTGGGGAGAACTGCGAATGGCCGGCCGTCCGAGGATCTATGTTCCGCCTACACTATCAATTTGCAAGTAAAGTATTGGATGATTCTTTCGGATATATGACTGGTGGAGTCCTGTTGTTGCAGGTCAAAGCCCCTTAGTAGGGTTGAAGGATGCCGAGAAGAGGGGAGGAGGATCGAGACCGGCCATCGATTGGGCAGCTGGCAGCAAGAAAGTAATTCCCAACGCCGGATCCATGTATTCACGGCGCTAGGAACCCACCATGGCGATACCAGGCTTCCATGGTCGACGCTGTAGGGGAATATCGGAGATCAGCTGAAAGCTGCGGGTGTGGGGGGGAGCGCCGAGCTTAGATGAGAGAGGGGAAAGGAGAGCGGGGGAGGGAAGTAGGGGAAAGGAGAGCGGGAGAGGAGGGGAATGAGGCAGGGAGGGAGGCAGTGGTGCAACATCAAGCGCACTTCCAATGGTCCCTTTGGGCCAGAGTCCGGGTCGGAGATAAATGCTAAGGATGGTTGGGAGAAATGTGAAAACGGCGATAACACCGAGATTTCCCGGATACGCAAAGCAGACAGAGCTGCTATTACGCTTCCTTACGCTCGAAGAATGCGCGGTACAGCTAGACAGTTTCTATCGTCTGAGGCGCCCGATACCTGTTGAGCCCCCAAAACCGCGGGCTGTTGGATCACGAGACCGTTCATACGGAATAAGTTCTTGAACTCTGGTGGCCGGCTTCAACACCAGGACACCAGGACAGACTCGCAACTCCTAGATGGCATCCTCTATGCAGAGCTCCCAGATCAGGCAGAGCAGGCGAGGGAAAGGCAACCGTCGATCTCCCGTGGTGGAGAAGTGACAAAAACAACAAAATCCACCCCCGCTAAAGCAGCTGGTAAGAAAGTGACGGCGATCAATGATACGGCCTGTGTATTCTATTGCGCCGATTGGACCCTTGGTGGGCCGACGCTACACCTTGTGCTCCAGAGTCCAGATATTTTAGATATCGATGGAGTTGACCAATGAAGGGGGGAGCCGGACCGGAGTGGTAAACGAATAGCGTTTGTGCCGTGGCCTCTGACGCCTCTTGGGGAATCATCAACACTGAGATAATAAGGCACCTGTCACGGCCAGGGGAGCACATTGTACGATACTTACGTAGGTATTTCATTTTGCTGTAAGACCAAGTCCGTCGAGCGAAATTTTCAGCGACTGTAAGAGTTGCTCCACCAGAGAAGGCTGCCGAACTATAAGCTACATCTACAAGTAACACCCTTTGACCAGTGAGTTGTATGATTTTATGTGGAGGTCATCCCAGCCCATTTCGAGTGACCAGGCGTGGGGCAATACAAGTATCCCATACCTAGCTGTCCTTATTCCCGGTGCCCCCCTCCCCTTGCTGAAATTATACTGCAGATTCTGCTCGGTATGTGTATTTCAGTGCAGCTTCCGGCTCGCGGAGTTTGGCTGTAGACTTCAATCGGTTGCTTGTTGGAGGTTCGGGTGCTCTCCTGGATTGGTCGCGAGGAAAAATTCGACCTTGAGCCTTCAGCCTTATGTATTTTCATCTTCCCCTTCCCTTCCTCTTTCCGCTCCTATTCTTCCTTCTCTTCATCCTCCTCCTCCTTCTTCGCCTTCCCCTTTTCATTCTCGTTCTCGTTCTCGTTCTCGTTCCACTTCTTCACAACGGACGGATACCGAGTATTGTTTCAGCGTGCTGATTGAGATGGAGTTGAGTTTGAGGCTCTGGGATGCATCATGAGTGGCCTTTTTCAGCTTTGGTACATACGTTCCAATATGATATCAAGGTGTCTCGATTTACTGCCGAATCAGACGAATCTCTTCGTTTGGCGACCGAAATTCACTCAGTCTTAGCATTGGCAAGACAATTGAAACCTACACGCAAGCCACACTGAATGACGGTAGGTATGATGACCTACGGCTGACAGACTAGGTAAATTAGTGTGTTATTGAAGCCACTGGACGAAGGGGATGAGATTCTTGCCGGCCATGGGCCTCCCCGTTACAGCAGCTCTTGCCGGTCCGCTCACCCAATGTGTGAAGACGAACCAACGATGACAACATGTGGCGGATGGACGTGTCTGCATTACATACGGTATCTACCGTGATTTTTTTTTGGTGTGGGTATATCGCTTTCTCTTGAGGTAGGCACTTACTACACACAAGAAGCCGAGGTCTGATTCCACTTTGCCCGCAATTTACAAGGTGGGGTGTATGGTAATGGTGTTGGTATGCAGTTTGGGGGCAATAAGACGAGTCGCAGCCTGTATATTTGTGATAGCCTTATGCGGCGGTAGAGTACGTAACAGAAACCCAAGATGACCAGGATACAGAATTTGGCGTATTCGCGCTTCAGAGGGCACCGGCGGAGGACGCGTCAAACGTCGTCTCTCTCGGTAGTTGTTCAATCGAGCGCATGGGCTAGCATTCGGTTGCAGCTTTGTACAGAGTAGAAGTTGCACTGTGGAAAAACGATGCGTTGGCCTGATAATATATGTGGAGGAAAAATACGGCAAACGAGTGCGGGAGCACCCTACGCTATATGTAGTAAAGATGAGCGGCCCCAGACTCGTCAGAGGCGTAAAAGAGCGATGGGGTGCGCAGTCATTAGTTATTCGGCAGAGATGTTCTAATTTATTTTCTTTTTCTTTTTTGCGTACTCCCACTGGCACCATGCCAACCTGAGTAGGCAAGATCAACATGACCGAAAGGAAAGTGTTTTTTGTAAGGTGTTTGAGATAATTCCGTTACCTGCACCGGCCTGTTAGGTAACTACATTTTCGTGCTTGGCCGGAAACCCCGATTCTGGCATATATATCGACAAACAGTGATAATTTCAGTGCCCGTGGCTGCCAACAAATCCGTATAAACATTTACAGTAGAACTGGCATCAACTTGACCAGACGAAGGGTCTCTGCAAATACCGGACCACGATACAGACTGCCAGATACCAGTATGTCGCGGGTATGTAGATACGCAAACTATTCGCTCACCGAAACCTCACTACTTAGTGGGCGTATCAAGATGATCACATGATCGACACACCGACATCATGTCCGTTGTTTCTGTGGTAGGATCAGCCAATCAGACGGCTTATGTGACCATGCCCCGTTGTGAGAGAGAACGATTGCAACTGGTGTTGTTCTACTCACGCTGAGGACATTCTCTATCCATTGAGATGTCCCTCTATGCGCAATCCGCGTCCGAGGTCCGTAAATGATTATTTGGTACTTTATGTACCTAATGTACCTCTTAGTAGTTTACAACTTCCCCTTCCGTCTGCAGCGTCGCTGCTCGTTTCTAAAAAAACTAAAAACAAAGTTACTCAACTGGTTAATTTCGGAAACCACCCCAGCCGGCGTTCGATAACAGCAAGTTTTACTCTGGAGATGACATTTCTCCAGTGGGTCAACTCATCACTCTCGTATGTAAGTAGTATCTTGTACCCAGGCATGAACTAACCATGTTATATGCCTGCAGTGCCTCTAAATCGTAAAGCGGCCAGGAAACCGAATGGATTGATGGATCCTAAAGCTTATCTCCAGTTTTCGGAGTCCCTGCGTTCGATCATGCCTTTCCGCGAGTGATGAGCCGTGAGCATCTTTGCGGAATCAGGCAACTTGGGGAACCTTTTGCGCACTGTCTCTCGGCCAACAAGTAGATGAGTCTCACTACTTGAGTTTACTTTGCTATATTGGAATTCGTGCATAAAAATATTTACAGGAGGACTCCGGTCTTGGGCAAGGAATCCCTCCTCCTCAGATATAGATCACATGATGCATCAGATGGAGTGAAGCGCTAGAGTATCTACATTAGCGCTATGGTACGCGGGAGCAGAGGCGACTTGGCGTCATCGGAGAATGCCGGAGAGAGGAGACCCTGTCGAGACCTGGCTGGGACCATGTGCTTGGGGAGTGAGACCGTGTTGGAACCTGGTGAGACCAAGTGCTATGGGGGGATGCCAAGTGTGCGGGAGGTGATGCCAAGTGTGCGGGAGGGGAGACCCGATCGATGCGGTAAGTTAAACGTTGAAATGTATTCTGTTGCTTTTCTGTTACGATTGTCGGTCCCTCTATTGTTCAACACCACAGATATCAAAAGTTCAGACCTCTTTTCTTGTCTTTTCAATTGAATCACGTTTTACATTTCTCGTACCCGGTCGTGGGTCTCTCAGCGCTACATCAGGCGAACATAGCGCTTGTTGACTTATCCAGTCTTCTTCTCTCACATATCGACGATTCCATTCGCCACTCCCCCGACGTTCTCGAAGACTGCTCGCCGCATCAGATGTGCCTGACTCAGCGGTGACAAACACTACGGAAGGACCGATTAGTGTGGGAAGATTCTCCGGATAGAATCTACTCAACATCTATGGTATTCGGAGTCCA